GTAGCCAGTGGGCAGGTGGGTGGGCACGGCCCCTGGGCGGACAGAGCTGGCTCCTCTCCTCACCGCCACCGGTGGGGCTTATTTTATATCGCATCTTGTAAGTTCATGATTAGCACATGCATCATGTAAGTAAATTGCAAAGAACCAAAGAGGAATCGCCAAAACGAATCGAGAGGAGAAAGGGACAGAGGACGACAGCGACCTGGAGGACCTGTCTTCACGTTCGAACTCATTCCCCCTGCTCCTCGGGGAGAGCGCCCGCTTGCTGTTTATTGGTACTGTCTACATGGTGGCCTTTGTCAGGAGCGGGCGGTGGCAGGAGGAGGCCTGAGTGCAGTGGGGAGTGAGGCGAGCGGCCCCTGGTGGCCCAGGCCTGTGCCCTCGAGGATTTACTGACACTGTCTCGGGAACGGTGCCCGAGCGTGGGAGCCCGTGGATCCTATGGATTTGTTCTTCCCCGTTTTCTGTCAGTCGGTGCGGTCAGCGCCCGTCCTGTGGGGACGAGTTCCAGGCGGGTGGTGTGCATCTGGTGGCTTGTCCCAGCAAGTGCTCGAGCGTCCCGGGCACCCTGGGCATCAGAGCAGTTGCTTAGGCATCTCAGAGAGCCAGGCTGTGGCGTCTTCAGCCAGAACACGCTGAGTACCTCAGCTGCCCAAGGCGGCCCTGGGTCCGCGACCCCTCTGTGGGCCGTGTCCCTGGGCTTGGTCCTGGAGTGGGGTGTACGTAGAACGAGGCCAGGTGCTGTGCAGGACCTTATGGCCTGCTGGGTCACGCTGACAGCCCTCGGCCCCCTTGGGGGAACAGAGCACCCCCACCTGGGGTCTCCGGGGAGAGCCTGGGATGTTGGGGAGGCTGCCAGGGCCAGCTGGTAGAGGCGGGACCCAGACATCTGGGTGGTGCTGTCTGCAGAGCTGGCTTTGCGCTCCAAGGAGAGCGGCGGGGCCACCCGCCAGACTGGAGCCTGCCGTCTCAGGGAACAGGGCGCCACTTGCAGCCCCTGCCACGATGTCCCCCGGACGCGCTGGGGGCCAGCCACTCTCAGACATCCTCCCAAGGGGCCACAGTGGGGGGAGGCTGTCCCACTTAGCCGCTTTGAAGGGACCTGGCTGTCCATCTGTCCGTCCTTCCCTCCCATCTGTCAAGCACCTCTAGACCGGGCCTGTCCTGCCTCCCGCCGGTGTCGAGCTCCTCAGGCTGTGTCTGTCCCTGCCGCCGCAAGCCGGCTGGCTTTAGCGTGGTGTTTACTAGGCCTGTCTGCGCACCCCTTTTAAGCCCATTCTCGCTCCTGTTACCTGCGGCAGTGCAGTCTGCCCCGCCCCGTGTCCCCGATGGAGCCGCGTCCTAGGTGGGAGCCACGACTGCTGTGCCCTTCCCGTGTCGCCTCTGCAGCTGCCCGGTGCAGCAGCGTCAGGGGGCTGACCACTCGTTCCTTTCTTTGTGAGAGCAGGGAGGGACCTTTTCTGCCTGGTCCGCAGTCCAGGGAGGCATTGAAAGGGGAGTGGCTCAGAGCCTCGGGCAGCATCGGGGCACCGCCGTCCTAGTCCCGCTGGGCCCGAGGTCTTTCCCAGGGTTCCTGGGTCGCACTCAGCCACCGCCCTGACCTGGCGTTGCCATGCGCAGGAGGTAGGCCTCCAGAGTGGATGTGGCTGGGGGGCCCCCCCCCCCCCCACCCCCCCCCCCCCACCACATGCCCACGCCCTTCCAGGGCCCACTGGCTCCTCAGGGCATCTGGCCTCTGGGCCCCCAGGTTCTGGCCACCAGGACCAGAAGGGGGCACCCTGCCACGCACAATGGGCTTTCCTGGCCACCTGGCTCGGCTCTGAGGAGCTTTGGCGCCTGGCTAGGCCGCGGAGGGTGGGAGGGCCTCCCCTTCGTGTGTCGTTTCTCAGGGTCACTGGGACCCTGGTTTAAATAAAGACATTTTCGTAGCTGGTGTGTCTGTGGAGGGAGTCGAACTAAGCGTGTGGACACCTGCCCCATCCCGCAGACAGGGCCCACACGGGTGTCTGTGCCCACATACAGCCCTTGAAAAGTGGGTCTGGGGCCCCGGACCCTTCTAGGGTGTCCTCAAGTTCCAAACGGTCCTCTCCTCTCCTGAGCACAGCGGGCTTTCTGGAGGCCAGACAGACAGCGTGGCTATCTCAGGCCACGGAGGCCAGACAGACAGCGTGGCTATCTCAGGCCACTGAAGCCCCTGTTGACAGACG